TTTAAATCCCCAGGCACTTTAAAGGGCCCGGGGCGAGGGCTGTGGTAGCAGCAGCTGGGAGCCCCAAGCCCTTTAAATCACCCCCTGAGCTCCCAACTGCAGAGGTGTCTGGGAGCCCTGGGGATCAGGGGCAATTTAAAGGGGGCGATTTAAAGGGCCCGGAGCTCTAGCTGCTGCTACTGCAGCAGAGCCCCGGGCCCTTTAAATTGCCGACGGAGCCCCGGAGCTCCAGCAGCAGGGCCCGGGGTTCCGGCTGCCGCTACTCTCCAGGGCCCTTTAAATCGTCTCCGGAGCCCTGCTGCTGGAGCCCTCGGGTAGAGGCGGCGGGTCTCCGGTGGCTATTTAAAAGGCCAGGGGTGGTAGAGAAAGCAGGAGCCCCGAACCCTTTCAATAGCCACCAGAGCCCTGCCGCCGCTACCCCAGGGCTCCGGCAGGTTCCGGGGGCTATTTAAAGGGCCCGGGGCGGTAGTGGCGGCAGGAGCCCTGGGCCCTTTAAATCACCACCCGAGCCCCGCCGCCACTACCCCAGGGCTCTGGCAGCAATTTAAAGGGCCCTGGGCTCCAGCCCTTTAAATTGGTGCCTCAGGAAGCCAGTCCACCCCGGTAATGGCGTACCAGCTCTTGCCAGCAGGGGTGGCAGGTTTGTAGAAATTTTGGTGGTGCTCAGAACCTGCCCCTGCCCAAACTCTGCCCCCCCCCCAACTCCACCCCCCCCACCTGCCCAAGGCTCTGGGAGGGAGTTTGGGTGGGGGAGGAGGTCTGGGGTGCAGGCCCTGGGCTGGGGCAGGGGACTGGGGTGCAGGAGGGGTGCAGGGTGCAGGCTCTGGGAGGGAGTTTGGGGATAAGAGGGGGTGCAGAGGGAGGGGGTGCAGAGGTGAGGGCTGTGGGGTGAGGCTGGGGGTGGATTTGGGGTGTGGCTGGGGATGAGGGGTTTGGGGTGTGGGAGGGGACTCAGGGCTGAGGCAGATGGTTAGGGTGCATGGGGATGAGGGCTCTGGCTGGAGCTGGAGATGAGGGGTTTGGGGTGTTGGAGAGGCTCAGGGCTAGGACAGAGGGTTGGGGTGCGGGGGGATGAGGGCTCTGGCTGGGGGTGTGGGCTCTGGGGTGGGGCAGGGCTGGGGATGAGTTTGGGGTGCAGGCAGGCTGCCCTGGGACTGGAGCCAGAGAGGAGGACTCCCCCCAGCCCTCTCCCTGCCGGCAACAGCGAGCTCTGGGGTAGGGACCCCCTTCTCCCCCCCGGCAGCACACTCACCCCCCCCACTGTCACTGCACGTGCTCCTAGGGCACCTTTCAGGTCCAGGAATCCCCCTTGCCTCCCCTGTGGTGGGTGCCATGCCAGGGGGGCTGCAATCACATGTGCGCCTCCTCCCCTGCTGCTGCCCCTCACTGTAGCCTCACTGGTGGTGGGGGATGGGGCTGCCCCTTGCCCAGCGTGGGGCAAGAGCAGTGACTGCGGGCAGGGGGCGCGGCTGTACTGGTGGAGGGTCCCACCGGAAAATGAAAGGGTCTGAGGGGGAAGGGCAACCTGCTCTGGCAGTAGTGGGGGGGGGCACTAGGACCCTGCGGTGGCAGTTAATGCAGGCAGGCAGCATGGAGCTTCAGGGAAGGGAGATGAACAGGGGCAGCAAAGTGGGGTCAGCCCACACTCAGGGGATGCACGGGGGGGGGGGCGGCGCGGGGGGGGCGGGGGGGGAGACCCAGCCCCGAACATTCGTGGAGCCGGGCCCCCATACCCTCAATATTGCTGGAGCCAGGAGGAGGAGTCAGAGAGGGGGAGAGTGCTCCATTTTCCTGCTGTCCTTAGTACCAGCCCATACCGGCTTACTTTCACCTCTGGGTTGTGATCCACCACACCTCCCAGATCCTTCTCGCCAGTGCTGCTGCCAAGGCAGTTATCCCCCATTCTGTATTTGTGCATTTGGTTTTTCTTCCCTAAGTGTAGCACCTTACATCTGTTTTTGTTGAATTTAATTTTATTGTCTATAGCCCAGTTCTCCAATTTATCAAGATCCTTTTGAATTTTAGCTCTATCCTCCAAAGTGTTTGCAAACCCCCTCCTCCCACGATTTGTGTCATCTGCAGATTTGATCACTATGCTGTCTATTCCTACATTGAGGTGATTAGTAAAGATGCCATAGTGGATCACAAGCTAAATATGAGTCAACAGCGTAACACTATTGGGGGGAAAAAAGCAAACGTTCTGGAATGTATTAGCACACGTGTTGTAAACAAGACACGAGAAGTAATTCTTCCACTGTACTCCATGCTGATTAGGCCTCAACTGGAATATTGTGTCCAGTTCTGGGCACCACATTTCAGGAAAAATGTGGACAAATTGGAGAAAATCCTGGGAACAACAACAAAAATGTTTAAAGGTCTAGAAAACATGACCTATGAGGAAAGACTTAAAAAATTGGGTTTATTTAGTCTAGAGAAGAGAAGAGAAGACTGAGAGGGGATATGACATAGTTTTCCAGTACATAAAAGGTTGTTATAAGTAGGAGGGAGAAAAATGGTTCTCCTTAACCTCTGAAGATAGGACTTGAAGCACTGGGGTTAAATTGCAGTAAGGGTGGTTTAGGTTGGACTTTAGGAAAAAATTCCTAACTGTCAGAGTAGTTAAGCACTGGAATAAATTGCCTCGGAAGGTTGTGGAACCTCCATCATTGGAGATTTTTAAGAGCAGGTTAGACAAACCCCTATCGGGGTGGTCAAGATAATACTTATTCCTGCCATAAGTGCAGGGGACTGCACTAGATGACCTCTTGAGATCTCTTCCAGTTCTATGATTGTATGTTAAATAACATTGGACCCAGAACAGATCCTGGTGGAATCCCATTTGAGACCTCCTTCCAATCTGACATTATTCCAATAATAGTCACTCGTTGTTTGCGGTTGTTTAACAAATTATGTATCCACTTAATGGGAGCCTGCATTTCTCCAGCTTACTTATCAGAATGTCATGTGGGACTGTGTCAAAAACCTTGCTAAAATCCAGGTATATTATGTCCACCACATTCCCATATCCACCAAACCAGTTACCCTATCAAAGAAGGAAATCAAGCTGGTTTGGCATGATTTATTCTTAGTAAATCCATGCTGACTGTTAGTGATTACTAAGGCTGCGAGTTTGTCATGGAGATCATGGAACTCACGGATTCCGGGACCTCCGGGACTTCTGCAGCAGAGCTGGTGTTCAGGGCGAAGGCCGTGCCTCCGCCTAGGAGCTGAGGGAGGGGGATGTCGCCGCTTCCAGAGAAGCGCAGAGCAAGGTAGGGAGCTTGCCAACACCCCCCGGCTTTACACCAAAAGCCTGAAAAACAGGTTTTCAACAAAAAATCCATTTAATCAATAGTCAGTTTGTCAAAACAAATACATTATGACTGAAAATTATCAGTTCTAATTAAGATGACTTCATGGACTGATCTGTATTTTAATAGCCTCCAAATGGATCCATGACCTTAAAGGCAAAGTGTCACCATTACATTATCAATCAAAATCATTGTGGGAGGTAAAGTCTTGTGCCTTAAAATCTCATTTGAGTTAGCATGTGCCTGCATCATGAGAGATTTGCCATTGTGGTTGAATGAGTGATTTATTTAGAAATAGGTATTTAATCCTATATTTATGAACACCCTTCCACTGAGAGAAGAGTGAATTTAAAATCCATGTTTATATATATCACGGTCATTGAACCCATATCATAGATGATGTTTGAATGTATCTTTTTGTCTCTTTTATATTTTTTCTTTATAGAATAACTGGACTCTTGTTCATTGTTTAATATACTAATCAGTTACTTGTTGTCACAATATCAAATGTGCATAACTAATTTAAATATTACATACTTTATAATTGTTAGACCAAGATGTTTGTCTTCAGACAAATTTCCTGATTATACAAAATTAAATGTTTGTCCAACTGCATGTTATGTGTTTGCCCTACATTTCTTCAGGTGCACAATCAGAGGGTGATGTTAGATCCCCATATGTTATTAGAAGAACATTATTCTATCAATGTCCAGGAACACTCATTGCCATCATCTGCTCCTTGCCAAAAGCTTATGAGCATTTATTTTGGATGTGAACTTTGCTACTGTACATTAATTTAGTTTGAGGTGACAATATGTGGTCTTTGTTGGAGAACACGTGAAATCTATCTGGGAACTTAAGTTGGTGCAGAATGCAGCAGTCCACTGATTGGGTGCCTCTTGATGATACCATTTGTCATCAGTGCTCTGTGTTTTTGCGTGAACTGCCTGTTGATTTCTGGAGACAGTTTAAGGTGGTGTGTTTAATCTGTGAAGCCCATAGCAGTTTGGGACCTGCTTATTTGAGAGATCACCATTCCCCAGGCTATATTGTCACTGTTGTGTTGAGAAGAGGCCCTTGAACTTGATCCTCCTCATTAAGAAGGGGGCTGCTGACGAGTGTTCTCTGTAGAGGCCTCTTTCCTTTGGAATGCTCTGCCCCTTGGAGTTTGAAGCAGCCTGAATTGTTGACTTTCCAGCACACAGCAGAGCTTGTTTGAGTGGGCATTAGCAGAGTGCTGAGTCAGTTGAGGTGGGAAAGTGTGATAGGTTTTCTGACGCTCCATTGGTTGCGTAACTGGTGATTAGATAATGGATGGTAAGATGGGAGGAAGAAGTGCTGCTGCTTTGGTTAGTTTTTAATGTGTATCTCCTAAGTTCTTGTGTTCTCAGTGCAAGTCAAGGGTTCTCAAGGCTTTGCATGGATACCTTCTGCTGTGGACTTCTTCTTAGACCTAAATCTAAATATAAGCATTATACTTACGTTGTTTATTTCCTGAACTGACTTGAAAAAAAAGTGTTAGTATGCTATTATAATAAAGTACATAGTACTCTTTTTGGTTTTATACTTCACAGAGAATTCTTCCCCCAACACATAATTATCTTTTTGTTCCGCACACGTGGCTGCTCTCTCACAAGGGAATAAGGAAATCCCTTAAGTCAGTTTTTTATAAATATATTTGCCTTACAGGAGTTCTCCATTCATCATGTTGTGTCACCAGCGGTGGCTGAGCTGAAATTTCCTGCATCTTGGGGAGAGCATGTATAAAAGGAATGGCCTCATGGCCAATGTGACCATCACCTCCGCCACTCCAGAGGTACAGACTCACTGTTTATTTTCATTTTGTTAGCTACTATGTCAAAATACAAGTTGCAGCTTATTTTGGCTTCCACAGAAATCCTTTCTGCCATGAAGTATGCCATCCTGGTTTTTTTTTTTTTTTTTTTTTTTTAGAACAGTATAGTTTTTTACTATAAAGTTAACTTTGAATGCTGTACTTCTGAATGTTCACAGATCATACAAAAAAAACCTTCTTTTATGCTTTTGACTGTTGTTGTAACTTGTTGATTGATTTAAATCTATCTATATTGACTATTTGCTGAAGTAGTTCTTTCAAATAAAAATAAACAGCTACCCAACTCTGAGTTGGGCCTTAGGACTTTCCCTTTGAGAGAGAATTTTGACATTTTTGGCTTTCTTACTGAGTAAGAACAAAACCAAATTTCAAAACCTCCAATCCTCCATGAAATGGAATTACCTTTTTCCAACACAGCTCTATGTTCAAATGGTAAAAATGCATAGATGTGGATGCAAGAAAGCATTCAGTGGCTATTGTGGGGAAAATAGTATAAAATATGCATTTAAAATCTCAACTGGTGTCTTGTGTATCTCCTCTTGATACTATAAAGCTATTTTTCTTTTAAATTAGGATGTGTTCAGGGAAGCTGCTGTAAGCAATGATCATCTAAGCTCTCATTCTTATTCACTATCAGAGACTATTGCACCATACTATATAGCAGATGTTTTTGCTCTCAGTACCTTATAATGGCCTTGTGAAGAAATTTAAAAGATTGTTAAACCCAGTAGCCTTGTTTGTTTGATTGCATTACATTATAAAGCTCTTAATTTAAACTAACCCTTTGTGTGTATATTTTAAATTCCTCCTAGAGAAACAAACTCATCTGTTTAGTTTTTAAACCACATTTTCAGTTTAGAAGATATTACTTAAAATTTATTTATTTTATCCCAGGCTGCTTTAGGATTAAATAAATGTTCAAAGCTCATGAGTAAGGCTGTGTACTGTTCTCTTACTGTAGTGGTGTAAAAGATCTGGGGTCTCGGATAAAGATCCTGTTGCATATGAAAGGAGATGTTGCTATACTGAAGAGCCTGCTCATTGTTAAACTGTTCAGCTAGCTTAAGATCTCTTCTGAATCAGCTGAATAGTAGCTGTGGTTGAAAATCTTGAAAGTGTAAAAATCACTTTCACAAAAATGACAAGGTTTTAGAAAATTCTTCAATATTTTTAAAAAGGCTATTTTTTATGATTTTTTTTTTCCATTTGAAAATTTTTAAATCAGGTTTTCAGTTTAGTAGATTCAGAAGAGCTCTTATGCCAGTGAACAGTTTATTGAAGACCAGGATCTTTGCCATAGCAGTGATTCTTTCACACACAAATTGATATTCATCAAACCAATGGAGCGTTTTGTTGAAGATCCTGTTCTTCATGAAATCATTCAGTTGGTTTAGGAGTGGGCTAAACAGTTTCACAGGGATCCTAGTCTTCAAAAAACTGAGCAGGTAGGGTGCAGAAGTCCATTGTCTCTAACACAAATGCCCATGGGATAACAAAATCTATTTTCCATCCCAGGCTTGGATGCAGGGAACATTACTAAAGGAATATATCAAAATGCAATTTTGTATTCCTCTCCTAAACTGTTAGTCTTTCCCATACCATACTGTAGAATGGAAATAATTGTAAGTACACTGTTTTTCATACAAAACAAAGATTGAGCTCCCGCTTTAAGTGCAAAAGAGAACTAACCTTAAATATGATGTCACAGTGGCTCTGCCATAATACTTGAAGGAAAATAATGCACTGACTGTGGGGACTGGACTAAATGAAGTAATAGGTCTTTTGCATCTCTAAATTCTAATTCTGTGAACTCTTTGGTCTGTTGTACTAGTTTATGCTGTTTATCTTATGCTTCATGGACCTACTCATAGTTTCATTTTTTCCCCTTGAAATTCTTGAGGAGTTACAGTTAAACTGCTCTATTCCAAAAGCCAAGATTTTAATATGAAAGAACAGTTCTCAATTTTTGTATCCTGTGTAATTTTTGCCAAATGTTGCTGTAGTTTTGAAAGTCTGTTCTGCTTCCTACTTATTGCTTTGACCTTTTTAAGAAAAACACTGAGCAGCATGGCCCCGTTGAAGACCCCAACATTTGCATGCTAGACAACAGTTTGAGAAATTCATCCAGTTTAAAAAAACTCTTGCAGTTATATTAACTAGAACATACTTTGTATGGACAGAAATAATTATGCGGCTTTGTCACATTTTCAAAGATTGAACTGTTTTTATTCAAGGTAAAAGCAGAACAGGCGTTAAAAGATGTACAGTAACTTTCTAGTTTTTAAGTGAAAACATGGTTATGAAATAGAGATTTTTCATTACCATTTCTTTGCTTGAATTCTGAGATGTCACTTTTAAATTTGGGTTATTGATGCCACTAGGTCTGCAATGTTAAAGCAAAGTAGATCTTCAGAAAGGGAGTGCAGTAGGTTTAAAAATCTTTTAAAACTTTTTTTCTCCAAATAGAGATGGATTACAAGGTCTGTGCATTTTCTCATCCAGGCTTGTTAGGCTGAAAAGAGGCTGGTCAGATTCTTTGGCCTCATCTGCACTTGAAAAAATTGAAAGTATAATTCACCACCTATGCACCATCTAAGGATGGCAGCAATGGTGGAGGCAGTAATATAGACAAGACTCAGGTATTTTTACCACCATGTTGCCGCTTCTGCTACTGCTGATAGAGTTTTACCAGGGGTGAATTGTCAGTTTTTTATCCTAGAACAGACAAGGCCTTGTGATGCTCAGTAAGAATCTGATTGAGATCTATAGCACATAGATTACAATTTGGGTACAGCTCTAAGTACGAGGCTGAAATTGAGGCCACAATTAAAAACTTTGGTTAATGGTGGTGGCTGCAGTTGAAATAAACATCTATTAGCTGATGTACGACTGGTCAGAGATCTGCTATAGGGAGATTAACCTTGGTACCTACATGCCCTTCAGCATTAGTGAAAATATATCTTCAAAACACCTCTGTAAAATAAAGTAGTAGTATTCCCAGTGTACAGACGGGGAACTGAAGTATAGAACAATTTAAATGACTTGTCCAATGTCGTGCTGCCAAGCAGGGAACAGTCCTAGTACAGTGCCCTAACCACAAGACCATATTCCAAGCAGAACAGCATAATGGTTTCTAAAGTGACATTGCAGATTTACTGTAGTTGCTGAATAAGATTATTATATGAGATGCCAAACAAATGCATGGAAATAGAGATGGTCCTGCAATTTTTGGGCACAGTGGAAAACCACAGGGCAGCTAGTCACTAGTCTGTGTAATATACAGTGACTTTATTTTTCAAGCCTTTTAACTAATGATGCAGGATTATTGAAATGAGCTGGTTTGTTACTGTCCAAATTTGACCTCAAAGTTCTGTTATTAACCTTTGGGTTTGCTTACTGGCTTGAATATACTGTAAATTCCAGTAACTCTGCACAGCTTTCCCAGACACTACCATCTTGGAAAGGCTGAAGTAAATAGGAATCAATAAAAAATATATTTTATAACCAGATAATATTTCCAAGCTGTTGAGTTTGGGAGAAACCACTAAAACTGCACAAGATGGGTCAGGGAAAAAAAAGAAGTTGATTAATCCAAGTGATCCTGTTGGGGCTAGACAGGGCATACACAAGAGTTGCTAGATTAGATTAATAGAAGTTGTTTGTTTGTTTTGTTTGTTTTTAAGACCTTGCAAGATCTCCAGTGCTTGAGATTTGGGCAGCGTTTACAATTTCCTTTTATAGCAAACTCATATCTTTTAAATTCTTTCAAAGTGTAGTGTGTACTCACATTAACGCAAATTGTTCTCATATTGTTTCAGTGTAGTCCCCCAAAGAGCCTTTAACTCATACCATTCCCTAAATAATGTCAATATGTAAATATTGCTAGATTTGTGGATCTTGAGCTGCCAGTATATCAATAATAATTTATTATTTATTAATATTAAATTAAGCATTGACAGAGCATTTAGTAATGTACAGGGTACAATTATAAAACAGTTCCTGCCCCAAAGGGCTTACTATCTGTACTTCTCAATCTTCAAACCTCTCAGTGTTTAGCACAAGAAATCAAAATACAATGACAAGTGACCAAAATATGGAACACTTCTATCTTGCTGTTTGGGCAAATTATAATTGGCAAATGATAATGTTTTAATGATGAAACCTATTTTTGAGAATATATTCTGTCTGTGTAAACTAAAGCAATTTACCTTCCCTAGGCTACAAAATAATCTGTGGGGGAAGGTCTCTCTCATGTCTACAGAACAGGGAGCCCAATTCAGCAGAAATGTGGAATTTTACACTTGAAAACTCTTACTATCTATAAGACAAACTGAAATTACTAGATACGTTAGAAAATCCACAGAAGAAAATAACTATTTTTGATGTCGTTTTATTACTATTATTTATTAACCTTTTTCATGAGCATTATGGAGGGGAGGAGTGATGGGGATTGCAAGAAGAAACAAGCTCCAAGGTGTGGGCCACGAGACAGAATTGGGCAGGCCGTGAAGTCAAGGACAACGTTTGTGCGTGAATGGGAATGTTGGAGACTGGGTTGTGGATGGTCAGATCTAGTGGGTGAATGCTTTGAGCAGCCAGCAACAAGCTGCTTTGGGCTTAAGGGCAAGCCCTCTAGCTTCCTTAGCCAATCAAATGGGGCATTCCATCATGTGGTCTAGTTCAGTGGTTCTCAAACAGGGGTGCGTGTACCCCATGGGGTTATGCAGAGGTCTTCCTGGGGGTATATCAGTTTAGATATTTGACTAGTTTTATAACAGGCTACATAAAAAGCACTAGTGAAGTCAGTAAAAACTAAAATTTCATACAATGACTTGTTTATACTGCTCTATATACTATACACTGAAATGTAAGTACAATATTTGTATTCCAATCAATTTATTTTATAATTATATGGTAAAAATAAGAAAGTAAGCAATTTTTCAGTGAATAGTTCTCAGAAAACATCCACTCAATGTACAGCAGCAGTCAAAACAGTGAACAGAATGTTGGGAATCATTAGGAAAGGGATAGATAAGAAGATAGAAAATATCATATTGCCTCTATATAAATCCATGGTACGCCCATATCTTGAATACTGCGTGCAGATATGACACTCCATCTCAAAAAAAGATATATTCGAATTGGAAAAGGTACAGAAGAGGGCAACAAAATGATTAGGGGTATGGAACAGCTTCCATATGAGGAGAGATTAATAAGACTGTAACTTTTCAGCTTGGAAAAGAGACGACTAAGGCAGGGGGTATATGATAGAGGTCTATAAAATCATGACTAGTGTGGAAAAAGCAAATAAGGAAGTGTTATTTACTCCTTCTAATAACACAAGAACTAGGGGTCACCAAATGAAATTAATAGGAAGCATATTTAAAACAAAAGGAAGTATTTCTTCACGCAATGCACAGTCAACCTGTCGAACTCCTTGCCAAAGGATGTTGTGAAGGCCAAGACTATAACAGGGTTCAAAAAAGAATTAGATAAGTTCATGGAGGATAGGTCCGTCAATGGCTATTAGCCAGGCTGGGCAGAGATGCAAAACCATGCTCTGAAGTGTTCTCTGTTTGCCAGCAGCTGGGAATGGGTGACAGGAGATGGATCGCTTGATTACCAGTTCCGTTCATTCTCTCTGAAGCACCTGGCATTGGCCACTGTTGGAAGACAGGATACAGGGCTAGATGGACCATTGGTTTGACCCAGTATGGCCGTTCTTATGTTCTTATAGCATGCTGTGACACTTTTGTATTTTTATGTCTGATTTTTGTAAGCAGGTAGTTTTAAGTGAGGTGAAACTTGGGGGGTACGCAAGACAAATCAGATTCCTGAAAGGGGTACTGTAGTCTGGAAAGATTGAGAGCCACTGGTCTGGCTGATGCAGCCCAGCTATGCTCACTAGGCTGTCAGAAGACTGAGCAGGTGCAGGGCCTTATCCCTGACACAGAGCCAATGTAGGCGTTCAGAGAGGGGCTACTATGGTCAAACAGGGCAAGGAATATCATTTTTGTGACAGCATTTTGGATGGACTGGATGGGGGTAGTGTAGGAATTGCACAGTCCTGAGGGAATGAGATTGCAGTAATGAATATAGGAAGTGATCAGGGCATGAGCAAGCATTAGAGTTGCGTTTAGCTGTCTCAGAACTGGGTGGTTTTGAGATTTTCAGTAATTTATGTGGAAAGAAAGCAGCAAGATTTGGATATGGCCTGGATGTGTGGCGAGACCTGGAGAGAAGAGCCAAAGCTGTTCCAATTGAGCTTGGCAATACCAGTCAGTTTCCTTTTTTCTGACTGTTTTCTTTCTAATCTAAACTTTTAAAATAGCCTTGTTAGAGATGGAAACTTTTAAGATTTGATACAACTAAAATTTTACTGGAAAAAACCATCCTGGTATTTTTTAGATTTTGAATGAAAAGCCTGTTCTGATTAGATAGCTATATATTTTGTCTGTGGTATAGTAAATACTAACATTCATGAGCCACATCTATTTTCAGAAAAGATTTGCAATACACTGCGTGAAAGTTCTTTCTTTATATGCTGGTCAGTTTTTAGTAGAAATATTTATTCATGTCTATGAATGTGATATCAGACTTAAACTTTATTTTTTGTTTGTCTGACATGAAATCCATCACTTTGCACATAAGACTTTTAATTTTTCACTTTCTGTAGGATAGTAGCAGCTCTGACTCTTTGGAAGGAAGGAGTTCAGACTATGCCAATAAAAGCTATGATGCGGTTGTATTTGACGTATTGAAAGTAACTCCTGAGGAGTTTGCAGTAAGTAAAAATGTTTGAATTTATTTTTATAATATTCAGAGCTAACAGTATAAAAATAGCATCAAACTTTTTTATTCTTTCCCTTCAAAATAACACCTTTTAAGCAAGTCTTTCAGCACTCTCAAAGATAAGTTTCTGATCATATGAATTTTGAGATATATGCCTCAACATGAAACATTCAATACTGAGCTGATTCAACATCTTTGTTTTTCTGTTGAACCTAATTACAAAGCTGTTTGGATTTTTTCCAAAATGTTAGCTGTTTCTAAGTGGGTTTTAAAAATACTGCTAAATATCCACAGCCCTTTGGAAGCTTGGCGCTGCAGACCCAGTCCTACTCGCTGTTTTATTTTTTAACCTGAATCTCTTGCATTGTTTTTCATGGTTGTACAGAAACAGTTTTATTTCTTGAAAGTTGAGGGAGTCAGTTTTCATACCCTAGTCACCAATTTTCAGTACCAGATTCAAAGCAGAGCTTCCATGTCAGGTACAGCTCTTTGCTCTCATATTATTTGGCTTCTGTTTTAAACTAGTATATGTGTAACACATTGTCACTGCTACAGAGCAAGAAGAGGGTACTGAAGGTGGCTGAAAGAGTGTACAAGTGTACCAGGTACTTGAACAGTATATTTGGACATAAAATGTGGTGCCAGGTTTAAGCTCCCGCAATGCTTACAAAACACTATGTCCACAAACAAGACTTCCATACCATTGTAACAAATGTTGTCATAACTTTTGTGGATCTGTCATCCTGGAACAAGTCTTGGCTGACAATGTGTCTTCATGCACCAACTTGCAGTTCATTTGATGTGGACTACAGGTCATTATAATAATACATTAAAATTAAAAACACTCACTTGCTTTAACTTCCATTCACCCAAACTTAACTGAGTATGGCCCACAGGATTGGTCTCCACAGTTAATATAATAAAAGTTTAAAACAGGTTAAAAGTAATGTGTACAGATTCAAATCTTGAAACTGTAGAAAACTTATAAAGGAAACAAAAGGGCACAAAGAGAGATCAATGGCCAGCAGAGATAAGGACAATAAGATGGAATTTAAGATATTAGGAACAAAAGGAATCTTAACAATGGTATTGGTCCATTAGTAGATGGAAAGCAATTGGTAGCCATGAACAAAAATTTCAGCAGCTCAAGTAAAATTTGCCTTTGTAGCACTTGCAGTGCAGCCTAAGGAAAATATATTATATATAATACTTGGATTTGTTTTTAAATACTGGGCATGAGAACTCTTATAACTGAAATAAATCAAACTGAAAAACCCCTCTTCTCCAAGGCACACTAAAGGCCCTCTTTAATGCCCTACTGATATTTCGTTACTGATTATCCTGATCTCCTCTATTTGGGGCAGCAAAGTATGTCATCTGGTTCTGGTTCCTAGCGGGACCTAGTTAATTTCATTTTACCAGGAATTAATTGATAATTACTGCTAAATTACATTTTATTTTTCCTACTACATTGACAAACCATGTAACATTCCCTTCACTGAGAATCTCAAATAGATTGAGTGAATATTAATTCAACTGAGAAACTTTTCACAGGAAGTCTTGTAAAGCCAAATTTATATCCCTCTAATGGGCTCGGTCTAATTATTGGAAGTACTGAAGGGAATAGGTCCATGGCACAATAAGTAGTCAGTGGAGACTGGAATTGGTATGTTACAACTAGATTCCCAGGGAAATTGGGGACAACCAGTCCAAGGTCACTCCCTAAAGTTGAGTGTTTTGTGTTGAATGATTTAAAAATAAAAAGTTTGGGAGGAAATGTCACACTGGTAAATTCTTGCCAACATTATTTGGCTTGGGTACTGAAATTCCATAAAGAGAAAACTGGCAGTTTTGCCCAACTCTTGCTGAATTTAACTGTCATATTTTCACATTTTTTTTTCTTGAACACGGGATTATGCTTTTCTTGTATAGCGGAACATGGCAGGAAAGAGACAGTTATTTACACTAGATATGGTACTTTACTTGTAGATCATACGGTTGTGCTCTGTGATGGATTCGGTCACAGAGACCCCCTTGGGACTGTCACCTGATGTGCTGAAACTACCTCTGAGCCCATTTTTCCTGCCAGCTTGGGACTCCAGAACCCTGTCTTGTTGAGCCAGACACGCTAGCCTGCTGCAACACAGATCCAGGGTCTGAACCATGCCCCCAAAGCTGCAGACTTAACTGAAAACAGCCTAGCAAGTACTCCTGCACTCAGACACCCAGTGTCCAAACCCCAAATAAATCCGTTTTACTCTGTATAAAGCTTATACAGGGTAAACTCATAAATTGTCCGCCCTCTATACCACTGATAGAGAGAGATGCACAGCTGTTTGCTCCCCCAGGTATTAATCACTTACTCTGGGTTAACTAATAAACAAAAGTGATTTTATTAAGTATAAAAAGTAGGATTTAAGTGGTTCCAAGTAATAACAGACAGAACAAAGTAAATTACCAAGCAAAATAAAACAAAACACTCAAGTCCAAACCTAATACATTAAGAAACTGATTACAGATAAAATCTCACCTCCAGAGATGTTCCAATAAGCTTCTTTCACAGACTAGACTCTTTCCTAGTTTGGACCCAGTCCTTTCCCCAGTACAGTCCTTGTTAGTTCCAGCTCAGGTGGTAACTCGGGGCTTTCTCATGACTGACAGTCTCCTTTGTTCTGTTCCACCCCCTTTTATAGCTTTGGCACAAGGTGGGAATCTTTTGTCTCTCTCTGGGTCCCCACCCCTCCTTATGAATGGAAAAGCACCAGGTTTAATGTGAATTCCAGTATTAGGTGACATGGTCACATGTCCTGTGAGACCCCAAGCCTCCATTCTTCCTGGCCTGACTCACAGGAACACAGGAAGGCTTGCAAGTAAACAGCCATTTACAACCAATTGTCCTAGTCAATGGGAGCCATTGAGATTCTAAACCACCATTAATGGCCCACACTTTGCATAATTACAATAGGACTTCAGAGTTATACTTCATATGTCTAGTTTTAGATACAAGAATGATACATACATACAAATAGAATGAACAAACTCAGTAGATTATAAGCTTTGTAATGATACGTTACTAGAGACCTTTTGCATGAAGCATATTCCAGTTACATTATATTCACACTCATTAGCATATTTCCATAAAACATATGGAGTGCAACGTCACACGCTCCTACCCAAACCAGATTTTGAAGCCCCTGTTATGCAGCTTATTGGCAGCCAGTCCCATGTTTGTCCACCGGCTTCTTCACCACACTGTAGCTGAGTAATGCTGTCATGTCACTCAGGTATGCACATGTCAGAACAGTCACCTTAAAGGCAAACCCCCAAAGTTTAAGTATTAACAAAGTTGGTAGTCCAGGGCTGTATGGCCAAACCACTTACTGTTACATTAGACTTGAATAATGATCATTAAAATATGCAAATGAACCGTTTGCAGTCGAAACTTTCTACTATAAAGTATGACAGTGCAGTAACATGCTGATACTCAGATGGCTGCCTCTGCTGCTGGTGGCCCAGCACAAGCGGAGAACTGAAGAAAATCCTGATTAAGAGGTGAATCTTCTCATTAAGAAAATGTTGACGCACAAGCCAAGACTCCTGAAAAGCCATACCTAGTAAAAGCAGCTGTAAATATGTACTTGTTTTATTTTCATACTAAATGATTTTTAACGCTTTTTTTGTTGCAGAGCCAGATTACATTAATGGATATGCCAGTATTTAAAGCTATACAGCCAGAGGTATGTTTTCTTAAATTCACTGCCATAAATGTATATAAACACTGCACAATAGATGGACTCTTCAACTATAAACATACAAGCAAAGTGGACTAGAGAGACTAGAAGGCATTTATATCTGTACACTTTCACTTCAGTTTTGTTTTAGCTCACAGATGAAGATCCTCATGCTGATATGCAAAGTAACCATGTGATTGGTCCAGCTGGCAGCTTTTTCTTGGAGACATCTTGGGCTAGAAATGGGGCATTAGGATGTTGTAGAACTACCATAGGAAATGTACTGAGTTATAAAAACAGTGCTTGCTTATCTCCCCTAAGTATATACTTTTTCTTTTTCTTTTTCTTTTAAACGTTCCTTCTAAAAAATGAAGGAAGACCATTTGTATGGAAAATTAACAAAAAAGTGAAAATTATTATGTTTAAGCAATCATTAAGTCAGTGTTTGACCTATATTCTGTGTGTTTAAAATCATATTGTGTCTCTGAAGTATATTGTGTGTTTGAGATGGTACAGTATAATTTTTGTAACTCACAAAACTTTAAGTAAGAGACAGATTTTCAGAAGTGCTCTGGACTCATCAGCTTTTATTGAGAATGTGAAAATCTGGTACTAAATTCTTTGTTTTATTTTGTTGTTTTTAAGAAGCTGTACAGCATTTGTCTCATCTGCCAACATGAGCAATCTCAGAATATTATAAACTTAGATGCTTAGATGCTTTATATAATGTGCTCTGAGTCTCATTTTACAAGGATAGTGTGTTGTGTGAATTTTCCTATATAGCTGATAGCTTTTTCATTTAAGTGTTACAGGCAGTTTGGAGACACATTGGACTCTGCCTTCAAGGACTTCTCAATCAACAAAGTGTTACTCCAGAGCTCTTGTTGTCCAAACAGATTAGGGTCTAACTTCTCTGCAGTATAGAAGCCCAGTGTTGGGCCCAGCTTTTCCTTCATAAGTCCTCATTGAAGCAGAAGCCACTGTTTTTCTAACTGGGTCTTTTGAAATTCATTCTCAGCCCAGTCCTCCTTGCTGGGGAAAAGAGAGGTTCTATATTCTGTTTCGGTAATATTGACTCAACCGTAGGTTGAGAGTACTGCTCTTTTTCTACAGTTCTGTCTATGGGGGAAATTGCTACTTAGATCTCATCAATCTGTCCTGGTGACATCACACTGAGGAAAATGGGTATACAAGATATTCCTTTTTCTTTTCCTGCCCATACCAGACAGCTACCAAAACAAGTTAGTGTAAACAATGAAGTATAATTTGATTGCTAAAGAAATTAGATCAGACTTGTTTGTATCGCATGCTGCAATCTTTCCTATGTATTTTTTATTAATGATTTGTTGAGGCTACTGCTAAGGTACAGTAACTCCCCACTTAACGTCCTCTCGCTTAACGTTGTTTCGATGTTACGTCCCTGCTCCATTATGGAACATGCTCGTTTAAAGTTGTGTAATGCTCCTCATAACGTCGTTTGGCTGCCTGCTTTGTCCATGGCTGGCAGCTTCCCTACGTGCCCCCCCCCAGCACCTCCCACCTGCCGGCGGACCCCACCGATCAGCGCCTTCCCCCTCATCCCCCTGTCTCCTGCCCATGGCAATCAGCTGGCTTGCGGCATTCAGGAGGCAGAGAAGGGAGGTTGCGCACAGTGTCCTTGCTCCTCCCTCCAGCCTCCTGAATGCCGCAAACCAGCTGACTGCCGTGGGTAGGAGGCTGGGGGAGGAGTGAGGATGCGGTGTGTGGAGGAAGTGGAGCAAGGGGGGGGAGAAGAGGCGGGTTAAGGGAGGGGACTTGGGGGAAGGGGTGGAGTGGACGGGCTGAGGATTGGGCCCCCCCACCGCCGGCAAAGTCAGTCCCTGTGCTTGCAAGAACAGCAAGAAGAGCAGCTGGACAGTCCACCCTCTTCCAGTCTCTGACTGCACCACCTCAACCAAGCTTCATACTTAGGATTGATGTAGTATTAAATTGTTTCTTTAAAATCGTTTAAAACTTATACCTGTATTAAATTGCTTGTTTAAAATGTATATAATGCCTTTTGTCTGGCAAAAAAAATTTCCCTGGAACCTAAACCCCCCCCCCCCCCCATTTACATTAATTCTTATGGGGAAATTGGATTTGCTTAACGTTGTTTCGCTTAAAGTCGCATTTTTCAGGAACATAACTACAACGTTAAGTGAGGAGTTACTGTATACATAAGAATGGGAGACATTAGTTCTGTAACTTGATGATTAGGTGTCTTGGATAGATATTTTGAAATATTTGCATATTATCAGTCTCTAATAAAATAACTTTTCAACAGCCCAAGATCTCCTGTAACAGGGTTCCACCAAATGTAGCTTGAGCTGCTAAGGCAAAGTTAAATATAGCTTCTGCATGACGTTTGGAGAGCATACATTGTGAAGAGCTCTGTGCAGGCACTAATACTGGCAGTTCTTCTGAAAGACATTTCTTTACAGCAGCTGTACTTCATTTTCTGAACACTGCCAGAGAGCTAACATTTTGAGATGGTTGCTGAGAACTTTATCTGGTGTATTAGATCATTCTAATGATAGGATCATAATGAAAGACAGCATTGCATGACCTCAGTAGCTCCTTATTGGTGGGTTAGCATACGCAGGCAGAGTCCCTGGGGGATGTCTACACTGCAGCTGAGAGGTGTGATCACTGTGTGGGTAAGCAGACTCCTGCTAGCTCAGCTCAAACTAGAATGCTAAAAATAGCAATGTGGATGTTGTGGCACTAGCAGCAGCCCAGGCTAGCCACCTGAGTCTAAGCCCATCTGACACCCTGGGTCTGAACTGATTCTTACATGTTTCTTAATTACATAATATTCTGCAGGGCTCATGCTGCCACTATTAAAACTTCCTGGGAACATCTAAAAATTAATTATAATTTTTAACAAAGTACTGCACTCTACTTGGCATAGCTATATCAGATCTCATTCTGACAGACAAAGATGAACTGATCATGGAACTAAAAATTAGTCATTGCCTAGGTACAGATGGTGATGACCCAATTGCTTTTGCTATGGGCAAACAGAATATATTCCTGACCAGGAAAATATATTTTTTTGGTGCTTTAAAAGGGTCAGTTTCCTGATGCTAAAAACAATCAAGCAAAACCAATTGGAAGGAACAATTTAAACATGCATAATAATTAAGAGGTTAAGAGAACTTTATTAAATGTGCCTTCCCCCCCAAAAACCCAGAATTCCACAGTCACAAAAGAAGGCAAGATAAGTTTTATAAAAAATCCTGGTTAAGAAGGAAAATGAAAGCACCGAGAAAAAGCAATATATGACAAATGGAAAAAGGGGGAAGTTGATAGCAATGCCTATAAATTAGCAGTAAGGAAATAGAGACAATTGATAAAGGAAGCTAAAGTTATCAGTTAAATCTGTGCCCAGTAGGGCTAAGGACAATAAGGAGTTTTTTAATATATAAGGAACAAAAAGGTTTTAAATTAATTGACTAAGGAGCTCTCTGAGCTGTTGATGTTTAACAAATCTTGGGGTACTGGTGAAGTCACAGAGAACTGGAAAAAAGTTCATGTACCAATATATAAAAAAAGTAAACAGCATGACCTACATAACCGTATAGGCCGGTTAGCTTGACCTTGATCCCAGGTAAAATCACGGAAAGGCTGATACAGAATGCAATCAGTAAAGAATAAAAGGACAGGAGATGATTAGTACAATTCAGTACAATTTTATGGAAAACAGGTCTTGCCAGACAAAATTCAGGTTTTTTTTTTAGGTCAAAAGTTTGGTTGACACATAATACTTACACTTCAGTAAGGCATTTGACTTCATGCTGTATGATATTCTGATAAAAATTAGTACTATACAAAATCAAATGGGGATAATTATTTTCCAGTGTAGGCATTTTCAGTTGTTGGTCCAATGCTATTCAATATCTTTACCACTGATCAGGAAGAAAATATCAAATACTTGCTAGTAAAGTTTGCCAGTAACACAGTAATTGGTAGAATAGTCGTGAACTATTTTAAGCATTTAAAGAACAAAAAAAAGGTTTTCACCATTAAGCAGGAATGTAAATTTAGATGTAAGAAAGGCTTTCTATGGAATTTGCCAACCATAAATGTTGTCCTTAACATTTAGAATCCTCATCAAAAGTTACTTGTAATAAGAATTTTGTAGGAGTTTGAATTTGAGGCTTTTCTTGCTAAGAAGGGTGGGGAAGAAGCCTGCTTTACAACAATTTGTGGATTCTGATAATGGATCCTTGGTGTCACTCCTTTTTTATCCTGAATTTTTGATCCATTATTTTAAAGTCAAGAGTTTTTCTGAAACAAATATCTTACAAAATATCTTTGTTGATTTAAAATCCTATTGTTCCCAAAATAATATTTCATGCCAGAAGGATGTGCCCCTGGTCTTTGATAAGACAGTTTTGAGGTTTGTTTGCCTGTTGACCAGAATGGTCCTTAGATTTATGATTTAACATTTGCAGTACATTTAAAAAGGCTAAGGTCTTCTGTACGCTTCCATGCATGGGAATGGTGCCCCCTTGTGCCTGTGCTTCTGGAATCTTTTGGAAAGCAATGTCCATTGGGACTGCACAAGTGTCAGCTTGTGACACTAAACATTCAATACCCAACCTTACATAAAGGAATTACCTAATAGCCATGGTTCCGTCTCCGTGGCAGAGAGCACAGGAACTTTGCTGTTGTCTTGGGTCTGTGTCCAGATACCATTTTTGAATACTTTTTTATCTAAAAATAAATAAATAAAAATCCTTGTATGTAGTTTCTCAATATGTTAGGTTTGATCATATTTTACAGGAAAGTTTTTCCTAAAAATTAGTGTGCCAAGTGTACTCTGAGCCCTTGAGACTTGCTTGGTGCCAAAGCCATATCTGGGGAAAGGTGTAATAAAAGCTTTGAGTTCTCTTATGCCAATTTATTTTCCCCAACTCAGCCTGCCTCTTTGGGGAGGCATATCATGTCAGAGATGCCTCATTGTGGAGGCACATTCACTACAA